GGTTACTCATTCACAGACTCATCTTGTGGTACCAACAATAGAATTTATTAGGGAAAAAGTTGGAGAGTATGGGAGGCAAAAAGAATACCAATTCAAATCCCAGTTTTAGCCCAAGTTGGGCAGTCTCCTCCTCTGCAATTATTGCCTCTGAAAGCCAGCCTGAGGGTCAGCAATGGATTGACTCCAACTTGATGGTACACAATAACAATAACAAGAGCCAACAAATTACACAGATAATACATACTTCTGAGGAAGAACATCATGTATTTTCCACCAAGATCCTCCATCTGACATCAGCAATATATCCCTGGTGCCATGGCCATTTGTAAATCCTGCCTGATCTTCCAGTAGTTCCCTCTCAGTGTACCGTTCTAGACATTTTTGGATGATCTTGAGCAATATTTTGCTTACCTTTGATATTAATTGATATTGTTTGAAAAATTCCACATTTCATTCACATTAATAAAATCTTACTTAAGTGTATTTTTCTGGGCTTTCAGAATGAATTCCAAACTATGTGGCTGTGGACTGCCCAGTAACCCTTCTTCATTTATCCATTCATCATGCTAGGTGGACAGTACTGATGGAACAAGTACAAATCAGCCTGTCTCTTCATTCCTGTATCTCTCCCACTTCCATTCATCTAGTGGACCCAGGTGGTCACCCGAACTGAACATACTCACTAGCTACCTTTAACTTTAGAAGTCCTGGAAATGAAGTTCCTCTTTCCTGTCATCAAGTAGACCCAGGTGGTCACCATGAATTAAGCATATTCTTCAGTTTTTCTCTTGCCTCAATTTCATTGCAAAATTCTCTCTTTTTTTGCTTGTCTGCTTTCAAATGTAACTCTCCTCAGAGTACTGGGTGGAGGTTAATATTTCTTCGGCTAACCTCCATACTCTGTCAAATTCTACTACTATAAGCATTCTTTTAGAACAAATTAATTCCCATTTTGAATACCCAATTATTATCCAACTGGCTTACATTTTCCTCTAGCTACAATGTGTCCCAATTGACAAAAACCTTAACTATCTTCTCCATATATCTTAGCATTAAATGAACAAAAACCTTAACCCTGCTCAGAGGAATGTCTTGCTTGTTATATGGCTTCCATCTTGACATTCTTAGCAATCTTATTTCTGATTTTGTTTTGTATGTGATGTGTGACAAGGCAGGGCAGCATAACATCACTCAGGTTCTTCACCTTTATCCCGACACACATAGGGTTGAACTTGGCTGACCTAGTAAGGGAGAGGTCAAGGAGACTCAGAGAGCATGTGAGCACAAGATCGGAGTGTTAGGTTGACCAGCAAGTACACAAGGTACTGAGCACCCTCACAAGCCATTTTATCCACCCACCACTACTTGCTTTGAATGAACAAAGACATCAACAGTGCTCTAAAGGATACCAAGGAGCAATATCATAAGCTTTCTATTGTTGTGTGCCGTGGAGTTGGAAACTACTCACAGCTGACACTCCAGCATGTTTTCAGAGGCTATAAATTGCACGTGACTAACTGTGTTACTTCCTCGAATTGGTCTGTATTGTCTCGGACAGTGATGACAGGAGGGAATAAAATCTGACGTCCCAGCATCAGGTAGCTTGACAGTTTTCCTCCAGGATTCTGAACTAAGATTAGAACTTGAATGTATATTTTGAGTGAAAGTGTCTGTGAGGTCCATATCCATGGCACCATCCAGAAAACTACCTCTGCTGGAATCTGGCTCTTGGGTAGGGACTTGAACATGCATATAATTCTTAAAAAGAGATGTTTTCCTCTTGAGAGTACCTTTAGTCCTAAGATTTGTGCTGTGTCCCTTGCCTGGGTCTTCCTATCACTCCCATCTCAGCCTAAGTGCTCTCCTCTTGGACAGCCTCCCCTGACTTGGCTTTCAAGCTGATTCTTTACTTAGTTTCTTTACAGATCTACACCTACTGAGTCTATTTGTCTTCTTCCTCTATGAACCTCACTGGCTTGATCGCCCTTGCATTGCTGGTTCTCAGTAAAGGAGTTGGCAGTTGTTGTTGCTGTTGTTATGTGCCGTCAAGTCGCTTGCAACTCATAGCGACCTTATGTACAACAGCCCTAAACTCCGCTCTGTCCTGTGCCAATCGCACTGTCTCTGACACTCCCTTCCCAATTATCCCAGTCACTAAATCAATCCACCTCACGGGGGCCTTCCTCTCCTGCCCTGTCCCTCCACCCTCCCAAGATGATGTCCCTCTCCAAGGACCGGTCTCTCCTCACAACATGTCCAAAGTATGTCAGACGGAGCCTCAGAATCCTTGCCTCCAAGGAGCCACCCGGTTTAACCCTTTCCAGGACAAATCTGTTTGTTTTCCTAGCAGTCCATGGTATTCTCAATATTCTTCTCCAGCACCACAGCTCAAAGGCATCAATTCTCCTTCTATCATCCTTGGTCATTGTCCAAGGATGTCCACTGGCAGTTAGTCTACAGTAAATGGTAAATGAATGAATGTAGTTAGATACCCACAATGGAAATCTGTTGGGTTTGTCATTGGTATTTTTTTTTATTTTTATTTTATTATTTTCATGTGTGTGTACCGTCAAATCAGATCTGACTGGTACAGGAGGAGATTGTCCCTCCTTCTTCAGCAGAGCATCTGGTGGATTCGTGTCATTGTTTTTTAAAAATTCAAATCTAAGGTGGCTCAAAGAAGCAGTAAATCCTAGATATCACCTCCAGCATACTCAAACTAGTCTAGACTTTTGTCAACAAGCACATGAAGACTACTGCTGTTGCTATGGGTTACTGAGTCATAACTGACTCATAGCTGCAGTTTTTAAATATTGTAGATTGCATGAGAGAAGATTTCCCAACCAAGTGCCTTTGGATTGGCAGTACAATCCTTGCCCCTCCTGGCGACCAGAAGTTCCTGTGTGAGGACTAGAATGTTTTAATAAAATGTTAAGCAAATAATTAATTCTCATTAGGCACATATAGATTTAATAAAAAACATTAACAATTTAAAAAATTACCAAAACCCCCACATTTTGAAAACCTTTTCCATTTTCCCTACATCTCTTCTTGTTATACCCCTTGCTTCTGAACTCAATATTAGCACTTCTATACAGAGAGACCTAAGAACAGGGTAGCTAAGGGATGGCAAAGTTATTCTCATGGAATATGTCTCTATAAACATATTTATAATAGTTTTTTCTTTTAAATTCCTTATTTGAATTGGAGTAATTTAACATTATACAGGAAAAGACTAAACAAAATTATTCAAAATGTTTTATAATGCACGACGGAGTTTTATTATCATCTCCTTCCTAATCTCTATACTAAACTATCCTCCTAGATACCAACACAGATATTTTGAGTTATTTTAGAGGACAGCATTAAACTCTCCACCAGAAACATCAAGGAGCATTAGATGATATCCACATTGTTCCTTATATAATTACTTAGCAAGTTACTAAAGTGATATTAAATACTACTATTTGAACATGGTAACATATGGCTTTCCTTAAACCCTATACTCATATGGTACTGTATTAATTATTTTTTTGAGAAAGCATTGTTCAGTAAATTAACAAAAGATGTACCTTATAATGAGAAGTTTAATAAGTAGAGAAGGTGGCATGACAAAATCACAATGGACTTAACAGAAAATGGCATTTTCTTATTTGCAAATGATTTTTTTTGGGTCACTTTCTTGGTTTAGCATACTTAATTGATGGGTGTCCAGTTAGTTCCAGATGACATGCAAACTGTTAACCCAATTTCTGAACAAGTCTTCCTCATTTCTGTGAAGAAATTCCTTCTAACAAGATGTAAAATAAAAGCTCGCATACAAAGTTCAAATCAACAGCAGCCATAAGATTAAGCCTGGAGTGCTATAGAAATTATGGAAAATGCCATCTCCAAAACAACTCACCGCTGGCCTCAACAAAGGCAAGTAAATATGCAGAAGGGAATAATACTACTCAGGCCCCAGGAGAGGGACCAGATGGGACCTAATAGCTCTTTTCTACTTCTAATTTCTATGATAATTCCAAGATGCCACATGGCATATGTATTTTTTCCCCATCTAAAGGCAGAATATTGGTCAATGAAGTGACCAGGATTTTAATGAAAGGTATTTTTCACAGACTGAATCCACATGTACTATGTCTTATTCACCCTACCTTGACCCCAGTAACACATCACTTATGATCAAGTTTGGAAAAATATATGTGCAGAGGTTAAACATAATATATGTCAATGAGAAACCAAAGGATTCTAATTTTTATTAAGAAATCAGATGCCTTTTGCAGAAGTAGTAAAACTACCTTTTTTCTTCTTATAATAAGAGATAATATTTATGTTTAAAGATTTTAACACATTTGAGAAAAAAATACAAAACGAAATTTCCTATTTTAGAGTTAACAGGAATTAAAGAATGGGAAAGCAGCAACAGAATTTATAGTAATTTTCACTGTTATAGTTCATTTTACAAATGCAACTTCATTCAGCACCTTTCCCTTCTCCCTATAAGATGCAATGTTCTACATGACATGCAAACTGACAGGCCAGACATGATGTGCACTTCCCAATGGCACCTGTCACATTCTCTGATTTATTAGAATCATTACATTTGTCGTTGGTTTCTGGTAAGTGCTCTGAAGGAGACTGTTATGTTGTGCTTAGCATCCTTCTTGAAACACCCTGGACTGAAGCAAATGGGAGGATAAAGGAAAAGGATTGAGCTTGGAGGAGACTATCTAAAGAGGTATGAGCATCTCAGAATAGTCCAATTTTCTCAGATACCATTCTATTTGACTAAATTATGGAAATATCCATACCCTTAAATTTCATGCTACATAAAATCATTTAATGATGAATATAAATGAGTAACTAAATTGAGGATTATACTATGCTATCATCAATAATGTCTCTTCATTCTTCAACTAAGTACTTTTTACTTACCTGTCATGCCACTTATCTGGGCTTTGGAGCGGCTGATAAAGTACAAGTTTAAAGCAAAAAGATACAAACTCTGGTAGAGCGGGATGAGGCCCTTCACGGCCCTGCTGGCATTGATGCACGTGGCGCAGATAAGGCTTGGCAGCAGCCTCCCACTCACTATGGCTCCGTCAAACAGAGGCCCAAAAAATGGAATCTGTTGATTCAAAAGGGCGAAAAACACTAAATTTCCAAAAACTAGTAAAACTCAAACCACAATTATGAGAGCAGCTGACTGAATTCAAAAGCCTACAATGACCACATAAGGCTACTCTCCATAGTTTAGGGACTGAAGCAAGTGGGCTGCAGGCCCAGGACTCTGGCACCACATTGCTCCACTCTGCTCCTCCACTCTGAACTGTCCAGCAAAACTTTAAATGACAAATTATCACAGGTTTTTCTTTCATTCTTGTGTTGTTATTTACAGAAATGACATTACTCTAAGTGCCGTATCACGTGGATCAATTCAGTGACTCATTCCATGTTAGCCGTGGTCTATCCTGCAACAGATTTTGGAATTAACAATATTCTTGTCTTGATTCTGATACATACTGGCTTTTAAATGAAAGAAAAATTGTGCTTGTCAACAACTGCAAGGTCCTACTTACAGTCTATAACCTTGCCCTTTGCTTTCAAGGTTTTGCATTACCTTTGTTTACCTCGACTTCTTTATTTCTATGGACTCACTTCTATTATGTGGAAGAATATTATTGATTATATTGCATACCCACAAATTAAGTGCTAAAACTCTAATTCCAATACCTGTGGGTATAATCTAACATAACATAATATAATAGCATCAGTTGACATCTAATGTAATGTAATGTAATGTAATGTAATGTAATGTAATCATTACCCATAATACAATCTTGTTATATGCTATAGAGTCAGATCTGACTCATAGCTGACCCTCCAGTGATTTTTTCAGAGCTGTAAATGACATAATCTTTCTCCTTTGGAGCAGCTTATGGATTCAAACCACTCAGGTTTGTGCTGGCAGTGCAACTCCTAACCAATAGGTTACCTGAGCTCCATAACAGTGTCATCTCATGTAAGGGAATCAATATATCAGTTGAGGTTCTATCAGTCAGTGTAGGTTAGATTCTAAACCTAATCACTTCTTTATTCTATAAAGGGCAACCTAGACACAAAGATACATAAATGGAAGACAGGCATGACAGGACAATGGAGACAGATGAACCTCTAAACCCTCCACTTGGTAAGGATTACTGACACTAGAAAAATGAAACAAAGATAGAAATTCTCCTAGAACCACACCCTGAATTCATACTTCTGCCTACCAGGCCGGCAACAAAATAACTGTTCTTTAAAGTTACTCAAAGTATTTATTACAACAATATACCAAGTGTTGATATTTTCCTATTTGAATTTGTCTTCTTATTTTTTTTCTAGCATAATTTCCTTAACTCTGTTGTTGAATATGGAAACCATCAGCTTCATGAGCTCAAGGACTAAGACTACCTTGTAACTTATATTCATTTACTCTCTAATAATAAATATTCAATGGATATTTATTCTGCCTTTACCATGTAGAATTTCCAGAAAATGTGTATCATTAACATGTTGGCAGTTAAATGAAGATTTGGAGGTTCAAGTCTATCTAGGGAGATCTTCAGGTAAAGGGCCTGGATACCTACTTCTTTTTAGTTGAAAAATTACAGCAAGAAATCTTGACACCTTCTAAAAAAATAATCATACAAATTAGGGCAGGAATAAACAGAAAAAATAAAAACAAATTAAACCATCAACAAGAGCAGGAGTTGGTTCTTTAAGAAGGTTAACAAAGTTTACAAACCACTATGAAAACTAATAAGGGAAAAGAATGACACAAATAATCCAATAAAGAGATGAAAAAAGCAATGTCATAACAGAACCAACTAAAATAAAAAGGTTAACAATGGAACATTATGAAAAACTATACAAATATGAAAATCTAGAGGAAATGGATAAATACTTAGAAGCTCACAACCTACCTAAACTGACACAAAAAGAAACCAAACAGCTGAACAGACACAATACAAAAGAAAAAACTGAAAAGGTAATAAAACAACTTCCAACAACAACAGCAAAAAAAGGCCTGGACCAGATGGTTTTACTAGTGAATTTTATCAAACATTCAGAGAAGAACTGTCACCAATTCTACATAAAGTATTTCAGAAAATAGAAAAAAGATGGAATCCTCACAGACTCATTCTATGAAGCAAACATATCCTTGCTACTAAAGTCAGGTAAAGATACCACCAAAATAGAAAACTATGGACCAATATCTCTCATGAACATAGATGCAAAAATCCTCAGTAAAATCCTGGCCAATAGAATCCAACAGTACATCATAAAAATAATTCACTATGATCAAGTAGAATTAATGACAGGTAGGCAAGGATAGCTCAACATATGAAAAACAATCAGAGTAATTTACCACACTAACAAAGCAAAGAACAAATATCACATGATCCTATCAATTGATACAGAAAAATCTTTTGAGAAATTCCAACACCTTTTCCTGATTAGAATGCTCAACTAATAGGAATAGAGGGGAATTTCCTCAACATAGTGAAAAGTGTATTTGTAAAAACCAAGAGTCAACATCATTTTAATGGAAAGAGGTTAAAGGCATTCCCTTTAAGAACAGGAACTAGGCAAGGATGCCCATTATCACCTCTTCTATTCAATTCGAAGTCTTAGTGATAGCAATAAGACAACAGAAGGAAATAAGAGGTATCCAAATTAGCAAACAAAGGTAAAATTATCTCTATATGGAGATGATATAATAGTATACTTAGAAATCCCTAAAGAGTCAGCAAGAAAACTACTGGACATAGTTGGTCAATTCAGCAAAGTGGCAGGATACAAGACTAACATAAAACATTAATTGGATTTCTCTATAGTGACAAACAGAATATAGAAATGAAGCTAAGAAAAAGAATACTCGACACAATAGCTAACCCCAAGATTAAATACTTGGAAGTAAATATAATTAAAAATACAGAAGATCTATTCAAAGAAAATTATAAAACATTACTAAAACAAACAAAAAAAGACCTAAAAAAATGGAAGAATATACCATGATCATGGATAGGAAGATTGAATATTGTGAAAATGACAATTCTACCAAAGGCAATCTACAAGTTCTATGCAATACCAATACAAATACCAATTCCATTCTTCAACAATATGGAAAGGACAATTTCCAATTTCACTTGGAATGGGAAGAGACCCCAAATAAGTAAAACACTCCTAAAAAGGAGAGAAAAGGTAAAAGGCATCTCACTCCCTGATCTCAAATTCTACTACACTGCCATGGTGGTGAAGACAGTGTGGTACTGGTATAGTCACAGACATATAAATCAATGGAACATAATTCAGAACCCAAAAATCAGCTTGGAACATAATTCAGAACCCAGAAATCAGCTTATCTGCCTAGGATCAACTGATTTTTGACAAGGAGATGGCATCAATTATGTGGGAAAATTAAAGTCTCTTTAACAAATGGTGTTGGCAAAATTGGAAAACCATTTGTAAAAAAGGCAAGCAAGACCCACACCTCACAGCATAAACAAAAATCAACACAAGGTGGATCAAGGACTTAGGAGTAAAACCAAAGACTATACACTCCATTAGAGATAAGCTATGAAGGGCTCTAGAAGCCCTAATCCACAATATGAACAGTTCCAAGCATCTTGAAAAACCTACAATCAGGAGAGAATAAAATAGATGAATGGAACCTTTTAAGAATAAAATTCTTATGCACATCAAAAACTTCTCCAAGATCCAAGATGGCGGCGGAGGCAGAGACAGCGTGGTGAGCTGCAGGAGCAGCGAACCACTTAAAGCAGGGCCATTATGGCCTTCCACAGACTTCGGCTTATTGATAATTGAACACTTAAACAGCTGATGACTGGCCCTCAGTGAAGATCGAGGCTCAACAACAGGAATTCAAGGATTCCCAAGGAGAAATGGACCAAAGAAGATGATTACCTATGCATTGGACAGGCCAAAGAAGATGATTACCTATGCAATAGATTGCTGAAAGTCATGGTGAGTCTGATGACCTTAACAGTGGCAGTATGCACAAGAGGACAGACATCCTAAATGCACCACATATTTTGTTCTGCTGAATGCTTCAGCCAAAAGATGGTTAGACCTGGGGGAGTCTGTTCACAATTCTCAGGTTCCCTTTATCATATATAAAGGGGGAGGGCAGTGACACTTACTTCAAAATATAGTAAGACCACTTATGGGGGGGGGGTAAAAGTGGCAGTGCTGGAATTGGAAACACTATCCCTGACCACAGAGTCCTCAGTCAGGCGAGGGGACCAGACTGGGGTAGGGGCAATTGGAGGGGGAGTATACCAGCCAGCTCCTGAGGGTGTTGCCCTGCTCAGGATGGGCTGCCCTTGGCCCCCAGCTTGGGGCGAGCTGTTGTGGCCCTCTGCCCAGGGCGGGCTGCCTTCGGCCCCCAGCTCAGGGCGAGCTGTCGTGGCCCTCTGCCCAGGATGGGCTGCCCTCGACCCTCAGCTTGGGGTGAGCCGTCACGGCCCTCAGAGTGAGCTCCTCAGTCCCCAGATTGTGCCATCTGACCCCTGGGTGGGGAAGGAGAAAAAAAAAAGAATGCCTAGGGTATCCAATGTTACCTAGGTCACCTTCTGCCACCCTCCCCCCCCAGTAAACCTGAAAGCAACACCCTCAAAGCCCTTCTATTTGTAACTTACAAGTTTGTTCTCTCTAGGTTTGCTCCCTTTCCTATAGGTAACCTTAACTATGAGTTTTACTCCAGAATTGACCCTGAACCCAGTGCCAGTGACAAAAAGGAAATACAACTGACAGCTAAGGAAGCAAAGGAGGATGGAGCCTCGGGTTCAACCAGCCATCCCCACTGGACCCACCTGGGAAAACACTTTGCAGTCCAGAGGGGAGAAAATTACAGGAAAATATCTTCTAACAGAGCAAGAAGGCAAGCAGCTTTAACCCAAGACCACCAGTGAGGTGATAAAACATCCTCCCTTCCCCCCTTTACATCTACACCCCTGTTCAGCATGAAGAAGCCAGAGAGTCGGCATCCAATTCCCAAATCAATAAGACAGTGGGTTTAATTACTATTGGAAAATGCTTGTCATTCCTCTGTAGCATCTGGTC